AGTCAAAGTCGATGTCCATTTTTCGTGCTTTCGTTACGTGCCTATATTTCATTCATAAAACCGTATTGGAAGGACCAAATGAAGAGAAATTTTAAGGATGTGTAGAGAAACTGGATTTGCATGCACTTTGAAAATTTCAGCCTTGTCCGGTTTGATCTGACAGAAATATTAAAGAAATAAAATGAAAAAAGGTTTACTAGCATGTGTGCTCTACATAATAAGTTTTCAGAGAGCGCAGACGCTTCTAGGCATGTAAGGGTAACGATAATTTATCGGTTTTATCGTATCTTACCGATTATCGATCGTTACCATACATACATTTATTGCTTCTTAGCGATAAAAAACGGATAAGTTTCTGACGCTTGCTGAGTAAAATCAAACTAAGGAAAGTGAGTTTGCAACATGGATAAACTCACCATCCTTTCTCTTTTTTTTCCTTCTCTTCCTTATATCAAGGAACCAGCAAATAAGACATATCCCTTCTCGCATACGCAGTTGTATATATATGACTCTCGTTTAATTTATTCTTCATAAGTCGGTCAGTTTTGAACCAAATTTTATAAAAGAAGAACCGTACGACAAAGGGCTGTGCAAGTCTTGAACTTTTTTTACATTTTTGAGTAGACCAAAATCTTGTGAGTCTTACGGTAGTTCTTTTAAAAAGTTTGACCGATGAATCGATAAGAAGTAATAATCGGAAAGGAGTGATAATCGTTACTGTTGCATGCCTAGACATACGTTCGTTGATGTCAGCAATACTAGTCAACAGATATAATGAAGTGAATCTACGCCTGCATGGCGTCTCACCAATTGTTTCATTTGGCGTGTATATTGAATATGTACGTGTATAATGCCTCATGTGCGCTTATAACCAACAAGTAAGAACGAATATTTCAATGCTGATGTTCTAATTGATATGATGACAAAAAGATTGTGCCTGTTTTGAAAGGAGTACGTTGAACCGACAATTTGTGCATTCAATCTAAGGCATTGACGATGGAAAGACGTTCAATGGCCTGCTCATGGAGGAAAACCTAGTGGAAAAATTATCTAATGGTCAGATTGCTACAGACGATGTTTATCATTGTTTCGATAAAACTTTTAGCGAATCAGTTACTTGGCTTAGGCTAATTGTATGAGTTAAAAGACTGGTATTTTGGAGGCAAATGTTTTAACAGACTAAACGCTTAGCTAAATCTATTATCAAACTTTTTCGTAACCAAGAGAAAAAGTAGTAGTAATTTTCTTTCTATTATGCTTTTGTCTGTTATGGTTTATTCTTCTTTCGATTCTGCTACTGCATACATAAAACAAAAAACAATGAAAAACTAGAAGTTACCTTGATGACACATAACTCATGCTGTTCGCAAATTCACCCGTTGTTTTGTTTTAGTCATATTAAAGAAACATAGGTGGACGATGCAAATGGCCATTGTAGAGCAGAGCAGTGTAGAAAAACTTAGCTAAAACCGTTGATAATCAGTTTTAATATTAGAGGTCTTACAGATGAGAAGCATCGACTTTGAAATTCGATACTGTTGTCGTATTATCTTTCACCACTATCGTTTCTGTCAACTATTTTAGAAAATCCTTTTGTGATCTAATATGACTTCACGATTTCTCGACGTTATTAATGAAGATGGAAAAATATTGCTACCCATTGAAGGTTATCAAAATGTTGATTTACTGCCGCTCGAACAAGCCCTTTTGCCAGTCGGTCATCTTTTTCACCCTGATAGTCTAAGATCAAACATTTGGGTGGCAAAGCAACGATCTGAATCTCCTCCAAATGGTCTAACTACGGATGAATCGGCGTCCATAATGCTGTATACTATTGACTGGACACCTAACAATCATAGTTTATACCATATTTTAAATCAGACATTACGTTTAGAAGATCGAAAGAAATTAAAACCTTGGTTCGCTTATCTAAAATTAATTTTGACAGCTCTCTCAAAATTACCATCTGTCACAAAAACTGTTTACCGTGGTGTGAGAGTTGACCTGAGACTTCAATATCCATGTGGAAAAAAAATATTCTGGTGGGGTTTTAGCTCATGCACGGATACCATGAGTGTTGTCCAATCTGAACAATTTTGTGGTAAAAATGGCCCAAGAACGCTATTTTCTATTGAATGTTTAAATGGAAAATCGATTACACAACATTCGTATTACAAAACTGAAAATGAAATATTGTTATTACCCGCTATTTATTTTGAAGTTCATAGTCAATATGATGCCGGTAATGGACTTCATATGATTCAACTAAGAGAAATAACACCGCCCGGCATTTTTCTGCCACCTGCTGGCAAAATACCACCCTCACAATCTGATAACCAGTCGACGACTCTCAAGCAATCGAGTGATAATAGTAAGTTCATCCATAACTATCTCTGATACCAACGTGAATTTTGCATGAATAAACTTTAGTGGAGCGAAATGTTATTGAAATGACTACAACATCTAATAGAGTATTTTACGTCTCATAAGTCTCCAAGATTTACATGCAGTTTCATTTTTCTAAATCCTTTCGAAGATTTGAGATAGAATTCTAGACGTTTCACAGCACTGCATGTGCTTTCGTTAAAAAATATAAACACAGCTGCATCTAGGTGCAGTGGGCGATGCTTCATTTGCTTGGGCATATAAGGAGAATTTATGTTTTTAACTCGTCTATCTTCCAGAGATAAACTGAACTTTATTATGCAGATTATGATAACCTTGGGGAGGACACCTTCACAGACTATCAGATTTAGTCTGTGTGGCCCGTCAGATGTAGCGTTTTGCTATATTGCCTACTCTTGATACAAGCATCGAAATAGTCTTCTGTTTCGCAGCCTGGCTCAATCTACAACACAACGCGGCATCCGGTAAAATCGTGCAACCAGTTGAATTGAA